CACACACACACTCTCACACACACACACACACACACACTCACACACACACTCTCACACACACACACACACACACACACACACTCACACACACACTCACACACACTCTCACACACATTCACACACACACACACACACACACTCTCTCTCTCTCACACACACTCAAGTTTATTTGTGAACTGTTAGGAGCAGTAGTTCATTAGGAGTGGTTGAATACTATAAGGACAGTGTGGCAGAATTGAGGAGCAGAACTGTAGTTCATGTCCAGCACAGTGAAACTTCACTATGTCAGTAAATACGAGTGTTTAGTGGTCAAAACTAACCACAGAGATGGGGCAAGAAGACTGTGACCTTTCTTTTGGAAGAAATCCCAGCACATGCAATCTAGTCTCGGCTCAAGGTACAAGAGTATATTACACTCGTGTGAGGTTACAACATCAGAAAATAACTGATGACAGGACACATGACTAATGCCATGTGTGTTCATGAATCATCTTTAATAGAGAGTGCTGCTGTTAAAAATGACTGAACATCACTGAGTTATGTAGCTGTTAATTAAAGGGAACATGGGAAGTACCGCCATCATACTTCAGTCACTGTGAATCTCAAGTAACACATCTGTGTGTGTGTGTGTAAACATATATATAGAGAGCATTTGGATTTAATTGATTTCATTGCTTTTAGGTTAGGAATCTGATGACATCTGAAGTTGCATTTTTCTTATACACTGCTCAAAAAAATGAAAGGAACACTTTTTAATCAGAGTATAGCATCAAGTCAGTTAAACTCCTGGGATATTGATCTGGTCCGTTAAGTAGCAGAGGGGGTTGTTAATCAGTTTCAGCTGCTTTGAGGTTAATTAAATTAACAACAGGTGCACTAGATGGGCAACAATGAGACGACCCCCAAAACAGGAATGGTTTTACAGCTGGAGGCCACTGACATTTGAGGCGATAGCTGGACCCTACAGAGGTTACACGGGCAGTCCAACTCCTCCAATATGTGCCATTGCCAGCAGGTCTGCTGTGTCTCCCAGCACAGTCTCAAGAGCATCCAGGAGGCAGGCAGTATCACTAGGAGAGCTGGACAGGGCCGTAGAAGCTCCGTAACCCATCAGCAGGACCGCTATCTGCTCCTTTGTGCAAGGAGGAACAGATCGAGCACTGCCAGAGCCCTACAGAATGACCTCCAGCAGAACACTGGTGTGAACGTCTCTGACCAAACAATCAGAAACAGACGTCACGAGGGTGGCCTGAGGGCCCGGCTCTAGTCCTCTAGTGGGCCCTGTGCTCACAGCCCGGCACCGTGGAGCTCGACTGCATACAAGCACGTGAGGGCCATACAAACTACTGAGTACCAGTTTGAGTTGCTGCAATGAAATTTCAGCAAAATGGACTAGCCGTCTGCATCATTTTTTCACTTTGATTTTCGGGGTGTCTTTGAATTCAGCCCTCTGTGGGTTGATCATTTTCATTTCCATCAAACGATGTGCCATCGTTTCGCTCCTAACACATTACCCAGTCCATACCAGTATAGATATCCAGCATGTTATTTTCCCCATTGAGATCTAATGTGTTTTCAAAGTGTTACTTTAATGTTTTTGAGCAGTGTATATTTAA